TCGGGCTCGCCATCCCTTCTCGGATGGTGACCATCGCCTTTATATGACGACTGGCTTCATCAGCGCCTCGTCATCATATTATAGGACCGGATCCTCATCGCCGTTGTCCTCACATCACGACCGGCCCCTCGGCCTCGGCGTGATCATCTTATCTCAAGACCGGCTTCCTCAGCACCGCGAGTTTTGAGTTGGCGATCGGGCTCATCATCCCTTCCCGGATGGTGACCATCGCCTCTATATGACGATCGGCTTCACCATCGCCTCGTCATCATATTATAGGATCGACTCCTCATCGTCGTCGTCCTCATATCACGACCGACCCCCTCGGCCTCGGCGTGATTATCTATCTCAAGACCGGCTTCCTCAGCGCCGCGAGTCTTGAGCTGGCGATCGGGCTCATCATCCCTTCCCGGATGGTGACCATCGCCTCTATATGACGATCGGCTTCACCATCGCCTCGTCATCATTATTTGGACCGACTCCTCATCGTCGTCGTCCTCATATCACGATCGACCCCCTCGGCCTCGACGTGATTATTTATCTCGAGACCGGTCTTAGTCATCCCTTCCCGGATGGCGACCGTTGCATGGATCTTCGGACCGGCCCCTCAGTGCCTTCGTCCTCATATCACGACCGGCCCCCTCGGCCTCGATGTGATTATTTATCTCGAGACCGGTCTTAGTCATTCCTTTACCGAGTGACGACCGTTGCATGGATTTTTGGACCGGCCCCTCATCGCTGTCGTCCTCACATCATGCCCGGCCCCTCGGCCTCGGCGTGATTATCTATCTCAAGACCGGCTTCCTCAGCGCTGAGAGTCTTGAGCTGGCGATCGGGCTCACCATCCCTTCCTGGATGGTGACTGTTGCCTCTATATGACGATTGGCCCATCATGGCCTCGTCATCATTTATTGGAACGGCTCATCATCGCCGTCTTGCTCACATCGCGGTAGACCCCTCGGTCTCAACGCGATCTTGAGCTAGCGACTGGGCTCACCATCCCTTCCTGGATGGTGACCATCGCCTCTATATGACGGCCGGCTCATCATTGCCCCGTCATCATATTTCGGATTGGCTCTTTTCATCACCATCCGCGCATCACGACCGGCCCCTCGGCCTCGGCGTGACTATCTATCTCAAGACCGGCTTTCTCAGCGCCGAGAGTCTTGAGCTAGCGATCGGGCTCGCCATCCCTTCCTGGATGGTGACCATCGCCCTTATATGACGATTGGCTTCATTCTTGCCTCGTCATCATATTATCGGATCGGCTCATCATCTCCGTCCGCACATCACGATCGGCCCCTCGGCCTCGGCGTGATTATCTATCCCCAAGACCGGTCTCAGTCATTCCTTCATCGGATGGCGACCGCTGCTTGGACTTTTGGATCAGCCTCATAGTGCTGACGACCTCGCATCACGATCGGCCCCTCGGCCACGACGTCACACCCTATCCCAACACCGGCTTCCTCAGCGCCGAGTGTGTTGGGCTAGCGATCAGGCTCGCCATCCCCTCCTGGATGGTGACTATCGCCTCTATATGATGATCGGCTCCATCATCGCCTCGTCATCATATTTCGGACTGACTCCTCATCATTGTCATCCGCACATCGCGATCAGCCTCTCGGCCGCGACGTGATTATTTATCTCAAGACCGGCTCCCAGCGTCGAAGTCTTGTTATAGCGATTGGGCTCGCCATCCCTTCCCGGACGGCGACCGTCGCCCCTATATGACGCACGGCTCATCATTGCCTCGTCCTCACATTTAGACCGGCCCCAGCGCCGAAGTCCTTATCTAGCGACCAGGCTCGCCATTCCCTTCCTGGATGGTGACCGTCGCCTTCATACGACGCATGGCTTATCATCGCCTCGTCCCCATATTCGGACCGGCTCACCAGCGCCATCGTCCCCATATTCGGACCGGTTCGTCAGCGCTGTCGTCCTCATATTCAGACCGACTCATCAGCGTCGTCGTCCTCATATTCAGACAGGCGTCCACCGCCTCGTCCCCCTATTCAGATACAGCGAACATCTTGCGGTCTCCGGCCGAAAGGCTAAAGGAGCCCAGAGTTCGGCCATATATCGCTCTGTCATCTTTATTTGATAATGAAGAGCTCATTTGTAGGCCCATCGGCCATATATCGCTCTGTCATCTTTATTTGATGATGAAGAGCTCATTTGTAGGCCCATCGGCCATATATCGCTCTGTCATCTTTATTTAATGACGAAGAGCTCATCTACGGGACCATCGGCCATATATCGTTCTGTCATCTTTATTTGATGACGAGGAACTCATTTGTAGGCCTCTGAGCCACATCTTGCTGCGTCATCTTTATTTGATGACGCGAAGCTCAGTTGCAGGCCCATCGGGCATATATCGCCTCGTCATCTTTATTTGATGACGTGAAGCTCATTTACAGGCCCATCGGCCATATCTCGCTCCGTCATCTTTATTTGACGACGTGGAGCTCTTATGCAGGTCTCTCGGCCATACATCACCCCGTCGTCTTTATTTGACGACGTGGAGCTCTTATGCAGGCCCCTCGGCCGCACCATCGCCCCGTCGTCTTTATTTGACGACGTGGGGCTCTTATGCAGGCCCCTCGGCCGCACCATCGCCCCGTCGTCTTTATTTGACGACGTGGAGCTCTTATGCAGGCCCCTCGGCCGCACCATCGCCTTGTCGTCTTTATTTGACGACGTGGAGCTCTTATGCAGGCCCCTCGGCCGCACCATCGCCCCGTCGTCTTTATTTGACGACGTGGAGCTCTTATGCAGGCCCCTCGGCCGCACCATCGCCCCGTCGTCTTTATTTGACGACGTGGAGCTCTTATGCAGGGCCCTCGGCCGCACCATCACCCCGTCGTCTTTATTTGACGACGTGGAGCTCTTATGCAGGCCCCTCGGCCCCACCATCGCCCCGTCGTCTTTATTTGACGACGTGGAGCTCTTATGCAGGCCCCTCGGCCACACCATCGCCTCGTCGTCTTTATTTGACGATGTGGAGCTCTTATGCAGGCCCCTCGGCCGCACACATCGCCCAATCGTCTTTATTTGACGACGTGGAGCTCTCGTACAGGCCTCTCGGCCCATCGGCCTTACGTCCTGGTCATCTTTATTTGATGAACCAGACATCATATTGTGGACGGTCGCTCGACCCATCCCTTAGTCATCTTTATTTGATGACTAGGACTACTGATCATGATGAGCTACCCACATCTAGAGATCGGCCTCGATCATCCAGCAGACGGGCACCGCTGCAGCTCCATCTCCAGGCCGAAGGGCTCGCACCTTTTGTTTCATTTTGGGGGCATCCGGTGTACTCTTTTTACCTCGTTAGGATTTTTTCCCACAGGGTTTTTCCTAATGAGGTTTTTAACGAGGCATCTCCCCATCGTGGATCAAAAGGTGTCAACCCTCGGCCCCCTGTTGAAGACATCATCCGACACGCATTACTCTACTCCTCTTCACCTCATTACACTCGCCTCAAGGAGTGGGGGACTGGAAGAGCGGGGGACTTAGCGCCTCCGTTAACCGAAGAAGCAGAAATTCAAATTTTTGTTCATGAAGTTTACTCACCAGACGGCGACAGATCAGCACACAGTTCTACTCTCTTTCGCCTCGAATACTCTCGACTCAGAGAGTGGGGGACTCCTGATAGAGTATATAGACTCGGACCCCCGGGTCTCACGACTATTGGGCCCGGACAGCGGCCCACACACATCTTACGGATATCATTTGTATTATTGTACTGCTTATATGTCATTTGTATGTAACTATGTACTAGATTAGTCTTTTATGTAGTTGGGCTATCGGGCCCATATTAGCGGCCCGACCCATTATTTCCCTATTTATACTCCTCTTGGAGCCATTTGTAAACCTAACTTTCACAACTCACAATTCATACACAATATCACATTTCTACTATTCATCCATCTTCTCCAATTATCTAGCTCAATTTCTCATTTTATATATACTTGGATTCCTATAATCCATCACTCGGTATCTTCACCGCAGATCAATATCTGCAGTACGATAACCTACATATTGCGAAAAACGTCCTTATGATTTGTTAACATTATTAGTTAGTACGTAGATGAATGACCGAAGAGCATAAATGTAATACATGCAAAAAAATTAATTAATGAAAAGATAGTTACGTCTCATAATTGGTACGAAGTATGTTTTGGAATAAAAATGAATAAATAAATATAATAATAATGTTTCCAGAACATACACATTTTGAAACGCTTTCCTGTAAACAACATTGGTAGTATGCTCGATTTGTTCATCATCTCCATCTTAAATTTCATTTATCAATTAATCTTTCTTTTAATCATATTCAGGAATTTTTCTCTGAATGATACAGAGTATTATAGTAAAAATATTAATAAATAATATCCTAATAATATTAAACCAAATAATAATCATAATAATATTATAATTATAACAACAACAATAATAATCATAACATTAATAATCAGAAACATTATACTATTTTTATTGGAACTTATTTCAGTCTCAATCCATACCAGGTCAGTTCAGACCAGACTTCAATAGTTGTAGAATACACAGAGACTATACATTTACTACACCAAGTCAACTCAGGCCAAAAAAATTCAGTAGAAATAAAAAAACCTAATAATATAATAAAAATCATAGAAAGATAACAATAATAATCATAATAAAAAAATTATAATCGAACAATATAATTATAATCCTAATTATATACTCTCTCCGGTCCTAAATAAACTTCACACTTTGACTTCACACAAATTAAGAAAATAAATTTGACTTCACTGTAGAGTACACTATTGTGACACTGTTTGGCACTGTTTTGCACTGTTTTGATGTAGATAATTTTCCAAATAAGGAAGAGAGAAAAAGTATGAAGTTTATTTTGGACCTATCCAAAAAGGAAAGTGTGAAGTTTATTTAAGATCGGATGGAGTATAAAATATATTGACAAAGTCCAATTCAGATCTGAAATTAAAATACCAATATTTTTAATAAACTTTAAATCAGCCCAGCCCAATGCTGTAAATCTACCCGGTCCAGCAGCTTAAACCTAACACGCACTATCTAAACTCTACTCCCTCCTTCGGCCGACTCATTCATCCGTACATCGAGCACCTCTGACCATCGTCCGTGTGTTCTTCCGCTGATATCGACAGATGTTTGATTATTCCGGCTGAGGTAAAACCAAAGAATCTCAAACCACGTCTACCATCGTTTCGTGATTTTGGTTTATCCCCTGCATCCTCTTCGTCTTATTGTGATTTTCTTGAACGGTTAGGTAATTGAATTTCTTTATCAGTTTGTCCATGCATACACTCGTTATTGTGATTATTTACATGTATAGTTGCATATGATTTGGCCAGAAATTGCACGTTTAACAGAATTATATTGTATCTGTATTTTATAGCAACAAAATACCTCTTTCATCGATTCATTTACATGGCTAAACCTATGCCAATTTGTGAAAATGATGTATACATATTTGTGTTTTTAAATGCCAACATTTGTGAAATTCTGGATTTAACCTAGCCGCTATCGATTTTGTGATATAGGATGTCTTCATTTAAATTCTAGATAAAACATGACATTGTATTTTGGATACATCTATGCAGATTTTTTAAATTGGTTAAATTGGTCTATGATGCGTGAAATATATAACTATTACACATATTTCAAACGGATTAATTTAAAACTTACTTCATCCATAGTTTTTTTAAGTAAATATGTAGTATATATTTTTAAAAGGTCACTATAACAGTTTATTTAAGAAAAAAGCAGTAAATTGAACTGTAAAAGTTTGTAAATTGACATTTAAATGACCAACTGACATTTAAATTTCCAAAAGTTTGACATCCAAAAGTTTCTATACCAAAAGTTTTTACTTAAAATAATATAAGTTGAAAACGACATTTAGCTTTCTAGATTAGAGCAATAGCTTGTAAATTGAACTGCCTAAACTACTTAAAGCATAATATCAAAACTTTTTTTCAAGAAAATGTGTGAAACCTTGTACTTTATTGAAAACCGGTGAGTCTGCTCTTGAAACCTTTGGTTATTGCTAAGTATAAATGAACCCTATTAAAACAACATGAAGTTCTATTTGCATAGTTTTCGAAGAGTTTTAAGCATATATTATACCTCTTAATCATTGAAAATAGCATCTAGTGTATCCCCTCTCCTAAAATGTGGTTGAACTTCAAAGACACGTACAACTCCCACTTTTAATTCCGAAGCAATGTTGCTCTGGATGCCTAACTGATTAAGTTCTATGTATATATACTACAAATTTGAACTGCTCTGAATATCAATGTTCATTTACCCTCGTATGTCAAAGTTCAGTTCGGTAGTACCTACATACTATACTATCGTATAATATAATGTGTATTTTATTTAAATGGTTTGAATACATGGACACTTTCTATGAAAACAATTTAACTATGACTTCAATACCTCTTTTTTTAAAACTGATTAATCACGTTTTCTTGAGACTGTAATTTCTTCATGTTAAATTGAAGTGATTCAATATTTGAAATAATATTTCCGAAGCCTAAATTCTGAAAATTGTTTGAAAGATTCAGTTTTGTTCAAATGCAATTCATTAGAAAATGGAAATTATAGGAATCAACAAAACAAATCACCTTTTTACAACATTTTTATAACATCTTAAGAATTAACAAAACAAATCACTTTTTAAGGATTTTATCTTCGATATTTATACCATCTGATTTTACTTATATGTTAAATTTAAATTCATTTGAATATATTTTGTAAGTACATAAATATTAACATTTTTATGATGGATCAAATGTTTTTTTTGAACTTATGATGGATCAAATGCTGTAATAAGTTTATTATGTTTTATATATAAAATACCATAAACCCCTAGTATGAAGTGTTTATTTTTCATACTATTCCCAAATTTAAAAATCCTAATTGGGGCTGGATTGTTTTAAATGTCGCCTAAAGATTTATTCTTGAATTGCATTTGAGCACACATTCATGCTTGTTTGTTACTCCCTCTGTCCCATTGGACTTTGCCAACTTTCCCTTTTTGGTTGTCCCAAAAAACTTTGCCAACTTTCCCTTTTTGGTTGTCCCAAAAAATTTTGCCACTTTCTTATTAAAGCAACTAATATGTGGCTCTACACATTTCTCTCTCCTTTGCACAAATCTCAACCACATAATTTTTACTGTTCTTATTTCTCACCTACTTTGCACTTGGTAAAGTCCACCGGGACGGAGGTAGTACTTATTTAATATCAATTGCATCTCAAATGATCACACTTTTATGTAAAGTTTCATACTAAATTTGATTTCATATGGAAATGTATGAGATTAAACACTGTAACGTGTAATACCTATTCAAACATTTGCAGGTTCCGTTTGGAGTTAGAGCCTTGCAAGTACTACTTAAAAACATTTGCAGGTTCCGTTTGGAGTTAGAGCCTTGGCAGTACTACTTCTAGGGTTCCGTTTGGAGTTAGAGCCTAAGGTGTGTAAAAATGGCGTGTACCATAGATTTCAGGTTCCTGGATGAGGGTTTCGGAGGCAAAACATACAAGCGCAAGAGAGCGGAGAAGGAGGCCGGCCTTCGATTGGAGGAGGAAGATGAAGTCGCTGTGGCTATGGAAGTTGAGAACGGCGCTCCTCCATCAAAAAGGCAGGCTGTATCTTCATCCGATGATCCGAATAAACCGGTGATGGGGAAGCCGACTTACGATGGTGTGATAGCTGGGAGAGTGTCAGGGAGGAACTGGAAGCAGGTCCGGACGCGTAGATCTTCGGCACTGCATGTGAGCCGGAAGGGGAAGACGCTGGATGAGAGAGTAAAGGAGAAGGAGATAAAGAGGGCATACAAGGAGAGGATGAGCGAACTGAAAGAGGCGATCAGGCAAAACAAGATAGAGAAGCGGAAGAAGAGGGAGGAGAGGGAGAAAAAGAAGAAGGAGAACATCATCAAGTCTGGAACCAAGTTCCAGAAGATCACCAATCCTAAGACTCTTAAGAAAATTGCCAAATCTGCCAAGCAGAAGAAGCTTCTCCAGGTGGTTTCCGATGATCTTCTTAAAGGCAGTAACAAGAAGTAGTAATTTGATCCCTTATTTGGTAATTGGGGATCTTTTTTGGCAATATACACTTATGATTTTAATGTGTTTTCACCCAAATGTATTATCTAAATCAATGAATGTGAGGTTTTCTTTGAAATCAGTGATTTTAACTGTTCCAAATTTTGTTACTCTTCCTCTCCAAGAATATTATGGTTTAATTCAAGTCACTAGCTAATCTGTATTAGTTTTATTATAGGGTTATTATAGCTATACAAGTCTATGTATTTCTTCTGTTTTTCCCTACTCCCATTGATAGGTCTTTTTTCATGACTAGCTGTCTAGCTCATTATTGTTTGCTGAATAATTTGTGTCCTTTATCTCGAACGATAATCTCATTATACATCACTATATACATGATCTACAGCTAGTCTTGGATTGGGACTGGGCTGACCGGCTCGTGAACCGGCCTGGCCCACCACTGTGCGGTAGGGGTGGATTCGGTTCGGGCCACCCGGCCCGTGACCCGGCTCGGCCCGGTACTGTGCGGGCCCGGGACCGGCCCGGTCGGGCGGTCCGGGACCGGGTGTGGACCCGAACCGGTGGGAATGGGCGGGGCGGGCACGGTTCCGGATAAATGTGACCCGGCCGGGTCGGGCCCGGGTCCGGTCTGATTTTAAAAAAATAAAAATAAATTGGGCTACTAGCCGTTGGGGGTGGGTTGGGGACAACCCAAACGGTATATAGCCGTTGGGTGGGGTGCGGGGGGGGGGTCCGGGAGGCTTGGGTGGTGGGGGGTGGTGGGGGGCGGTGGGGGTAAAAAAACCTATAAATACTCCTAATCTTAAACATTTTTTCATATCTCTTCTCCAATTCTTTCTAAATCCTATTCTTAACTCTCTACTCTCTACTTCTCTTATTCTCCAATATATTATATTTATTATTTATATATCTACTTTATAGTTTATACTTAAGAAGTTAAGATGGAAAATCAAGATGCCATTATACGGTATAATTTTGATAAGCAGAAGGACCCGAAGACCGGGATGTGGTACGCAATTTGTAAATGGTGCGAGAAAAAATGTAGCATGGGGGTTTCAGGCAGATACGGGATGGCAATCAAGCATATGAAGTCATGTGACAAAGCCAAAGGATCGGGAGGTGCGGGATGTTCCGATTGATTACAATTTTCAAAATGTTTGTCTCTTAAAGTTTGTTTTAATTTTCAAATGTAGTTCCTATTTCATTTCAAATAAATGCACTTGAAGTTTGTTTTTAATACTCGTATAAAACTATAAACTATAAAATATAAATTATAAAAAAAAACTTTAACCGGCCCGGCCTGAACCGGACCCGACCCGTGGCCCGGGCGGGTGGCCCGGCCCGAACCGGACCCGTCCAACCCTCGGGCCGGTCCCGGGCCCATGACATACAAACCGGCGGCCCGACCGGGCCTAGGCCCGGCCCAAGTCCATCAATACTGTGCAGGCCCGGACTGGCCCGGGCATCGGGTAATGGTTCCGGACCTAGGCCCAGCCCGAGAATGAAAGCGGGGCGGTTCCGGGATTGAGTTTTGGTGACCCGGCTGGGTTGGGCCCTGGCCCGGGCCTAACGGTAACTTTAAAAAAAAATATAATACTCCCTCCGTTCTTAAATATGAGTTCTCTTAGGTTTTGACACGGGTTTTAAGAGGAAAATAATAGGGGTAGTGTAAAAGGTGTAGTCGTTTGTGGGTAAATGAAAAAGTAGAAAAGAGAAAGGGATAATGGTAATAAAAGTGGGGGTATAAAGGTATTTTGATTGAAAAAACTTACCAAAAAGGGAAAGAGAGACAATAATTAAAAACGTCCCAAAAAGGAATGTGAGACAGCTATACAGTTAAATAGGCTGTATAGCTGTTGGGGAGCTCTCAAACGACTCTATAGCCGTTGGGAGCGGGGGGAGTTTTTTCTATAAGTACCTATTGATTTCATTTTTCCCCACACAAATCATTCTCTACTCTCTTATTCTCTATCATCTTCTATATTCATCAATTTCATCATATTCATCTACTACTCTTCTCCACTTTCTTAATTATTATTACTATTCCTATTATTTCTAATATTATATATTGTATTTAAATTTTCATATATAATTATACTATTAAGTAATAGTAGTATTGTTATATACTTATATTAGTAATTTCCTATTACTATTGTTATATTAATACTACTAATATACTTATATACTTAGTTATTTATATTAGTTTCCTATTAATATACTTATATCTTATATACTATAAACATTATATTATATACAGTATTAGTTATACAATTATTACATCTAATAATATAGTTATTATCTACTTATAAGTTATAAAATACATATATTATCTACTTAATATCTACTTATTATATAGTTGTTATTTACTTATGTTTACTTATATTACATCTAATTAATATATTAAGTATATATAAATATTAAAGTATTAAATATAAGTGTATTACTCATATTATAATAGTATACTTATATTTTCTATTACTCCCCTTAATTAGTATACACATTCATACATTTTTCCTATTACTTACTCATCCTAGTTACATTTATCATTGAAGTAGTTCGTTACTTAATTGTTACATTTGTCATTGAAGTAGTTCATTACTTAATTGTTACATTTGTCGTTAAAGTTTTTATTAAATTAGTTCGAATTTTTAGGTGTGATTAATTACTTAGAATTTTTAGTTCTTAAACGGTTACATTTAAGTGTTTATTAAATTAGTAGTTAGAAAGTAGTCCAAAAAATGTGTTTAGTGAATTTTATATTAAAAAAAGACCCGACCCGACCCGGCCCGGCCTGCTACCCGGGCGGGTAGCCCGGCCTGAAGCGGTACCGCCGGTGATTCGGGCCGGTCCCGGGCTCCCTTCCCAAAACCAAAAGCCCGGCCGGGCCAGGCCCGGAACCGGAACCGGACCGAGCTCGGTCCATCACTATCTACAACATTGTTTTGTTGTAACTAGAGCACATGGCCCCTACTCTTAGAGTGGAAAAGGTGTGCAAAGGTTAGAGTGCAAAGGGTTAGCATTGGTAAAATCTTGCTTAAATCTTGAGCCAATTAGGTAAACCACACTAGGCTGTGTGACATTCTCGGTCAACCGCTGACCACACTAGGTTGTGTAACATTCTCAGCCAACTAGGTAACCATACCAGATGTTGTAAATTCGTGACCACACTAAGCTATGTGACATTCTCGACCAACTATGTAACTAGGGGTGAGCATTTCGGTTTTCGGTTCGGTTTTCTTCGGTTTCGGTTCGGTTTCGGTTTAATCGGTTTGATAGAAAATGTACCAAATACAAACCGATTAAGTTTCGGTTTGGTTTAGGTTTGGTACGGTTCGGTTCGGTTTGGAGTTCGGTTTACCAAAGTATTAAGGTTTGGATTGAAAAAAAAAATAACTCAAAATAATGAACCAAGAAGCGATAGTAATGAACCAAATATAATGTTAGATATAAATTTGCAAACAATAACAAAACACATATGAACCAAAAATATATAAGCATGACACATTTGAATGCATCAACAACAACGGGAATGAATAAAACTATATATAAAGCTGAAACAAAAACAAAACCGATGCTTGTAAGTAATGAACCAAATATATAGTAGTAGTAGATAATAAATTATAGTTAAATACTATCTACTTAAATCACTATAATTGTTATAGTTGTGAATGTAAGTCTTGTAGTAAACTAAAAAAAAAGTCTTGTAGTAAACTTTAGTCCTCGACACTAAAATTAAAGAATTAAAGTTTCAAAAAGATTAACATCAATCAAATTAATGAGAGAAATCTTATATTTTAGTTTGGTTTAGTTTGGTGTAAGTTGGTTTTGATTTGTTATTTAAAAAAAAATAAGAAATTATTTCATTTTTAGATTAGTTCGGTTTTATTCGGTTTTATTCGGTTTTATGATTTCGGTTCGGTTTGGTTCGGTTTAATACGGGTTGGGAGGAATACTACCAAACTCAAACCAAATTACAAATGGTTCGGTTTCGGTTTGGTTTAATTCGGTTTGGTACGGTTCGGTTCGGTCAAACCGAACCGTTATGCCCACCTCTATATGTAACACATGCCAAGTGATGTACATTCTCGACTACACTGTGATGTTTAACATTCTCGACCAACTACGTAAAACATACGAGACAATGTACACTCTCGATGACACTAAGCTGTGTGACATTCTCGACCAACTAGGTAAACCATACCAGACGATGTACATTCTCGACCACACTAGTGGCTTCTATCCTTCTAATGTCTTAGTTGATCTCTTTATTTTAATGAAGTCGCCTTGTTTAGGGGATATTAAACTATGCCTCATATGTTTGTGAATTGTGAGGTGCATGGTGAAGCTTTGCAAGAGTGACCATGGGCTAGAGATGTGTGACATTTTTTATCGAGAGAGTGCGCGAATGTGTTGGTATGGGAAATTTGGAGCATTATTTTACACACATGAAGAATGTACTCTTTTTCTCTCGGAAAATTTTGAACAATTGTGTACACTTTTTTGTACACCACTATTTTGTGTGTTCATAAAAAAATTGAGAATGTCAAGGCAACTAACTATACGAAACTACAAATCAAAACAATTCAAGTAATAAAACGATAACTACATTAGCCAGGTGTGGGAACTCCGTTGATGGTGAGGCCGAGCACTAGTGTTGGACCGGGACTAGTCAGACCGACCCGGGAACCGGCCCAGCCCGCCACTGTGCGGGACCGGCCTGGCCCGGTGAACCGGTTCCTGTACCGGGCCTTGGCCCGACCCGGGGGGTTTATGGGGGCAGTTCCGGGGTTGAGTAATTGGGAACTAGCTTGGGTGTCTGGGCCCGGTTCGGGCTTTTTTAATTTTTGTTTTTTGTTTTTTGGGTGTGGGCCTATGGTAGTTGGGCTGGGCTGGGTGTTTTGGCGGGGTCTAGGGGTGGGGGGATTGGAATAACCTATGAAAACAAAAAAAAACATAAGAATCGGCCTGGGCTGGCCCGGTACCGGTAGACTCCCGGGCCATACCCAAAAACTTCCAAGCCCGGTCGGGACTCGGAGATGTCGACCAAGCCGAGAAGGATGGTTATAATCGGGATTCGGATCCAATGGATGAACCATTTTCAGGAAGGATGGAGGTAGAACGACAATATGAACGGTAAGAGTTGTCCAACACTCCAAAACATTACAATTTGAAGTATTAAAAAGTCACTTATTGAGGTGTTGGGGAGTTCTCCTAACACTTTTAATGTTCCAAAAGGTTGAATCCTCAATCCCAAGGGCCACCACG